ATCCTATTGATCTCCTGGCTGGTGGTTATAATGCTCTTTCCAAGACTTTTAAGGTCAATTATCCCTCCCCTATGAGACAAATATGGTATGTTCTAACCACTTTGGAAATAGAAAACATAACCTGGAAGTATCATGTTTAAATTATAAAATCCAACACATACGCTCAAAACAGAAGCTGTTCCTCTGTCCACATCTAAAATTTAGGGCCTCCTATTCATCTTCTCATTTCGTTCTGCAAATGCTCTGTGGGTGATTATTTTAAATTTACAGAGAAATTGTTAAAATAGTTCAAAAACCTCCATATGCCCATTACCTTGGGGCTCAATCCAGGCTTTCCATCTTGCTTACCTCTACCTATTTCACACTCCAAACATGTAAAGCCCAGCTCTCACTCTTCATCATCCCTTTACTTACTTATTCAACCTCAGCATACGCATAGTGTTTTCAGAATTGTTAATCTGTACGCCTACAAGAAACAAATTTAATGACTAGAGTTCAGTGTTCATAGAGAGTTTTTGTTTTGAATATTATGGTTTCTCATGTAATTTGAATTTTGCAGTCAATATTATGTTGTTAAAACATGTAAGGGTTATTCCTAATTAAGCAGAGTATAGATATGTTATTAGGAATATATTATATTCTATAATGTAATAGGATATAATATATCCCTATTCCGAATGATCCCACTCAACAATGACATGTCCAAAAATATTATTTAATCTTCACAGCCATAGAGATTATTCTTATAAAGCATTTTCAATTGATCTGTTGAAAATAAACAAATGTTTTTGGTGCCAGGCATTGACCCAAAGACTATACTTTTATTATCTCATTTAATCTCCTTTAAAATATTTTTTTAAATTGCTTCTTGGCCTTTTGGCTAAGATCAAGTGTAAAATATTTTTTTAGTTTCATTCTAGTTTCATCAATGGGTACAACTTGTATGATGCCAGAATTAACCTCAATGTTATGAACCATTTCTTTTTTTTTTTTTTTTGAGATGGAGAATTGCTCTATTACCCAGGCTGGGGTGCAGTGGCACAATCTCAGCTCACTGCAACCTCCACCTCCCAGGTCATGCAATTCTCTTACATCAGCCTCCTGACTAGCTGAAATTACAGGCATGCACCACCATGCCTGGCTAATTTTTCTTTTTTTTCTTTTTCTTTTTTTTTTTTTTAGCACAGACAGGTTTCATCATGTTTACCAGACTGGTCTTGAACTCCTGACCTTGTGATCCACCCACCTCGACCTCCCAAAGTGCTGGGATTACAGGCATGAGCTACCACACCCAACTGTTATGAACCATTTCTAACAGTGAGAGGCTTCCTACAATTGGGAGAGGAAGATCTCTGTAACTAGATACATAATTAAGTAGAGGCTGAATGATCGTCTTTCAAATATTAAGTTGTGAAAAGAATCTTACAATGTTGGGTCCAACTCGCAGAACCTGACCAGCTGATGGATGAACAAATGCACTCAGAGGCAGATACCCAGTGAAAGAGTGGGATGAACAAATGCACTCAGACACAGATATCCAGTGAAAGAGTGGGCTATAAACCCCAAGGAAGGTGCTATACTCAGAAGCCATGGTCCTTACCAGCTGGCACTGCAGGCATTCATTCCATATAGATTTAATGACAGAGGCTTTGAGTCAGCATAGTTGTGGATAATTAAAATGGTTGCCTTCCCCAGAGAGAGCAGTCCTACAATGATTAAAAGCCATGTCCCAAGGCCTACAGCAATCGCCATTTGTGGGTAACATTGTTGATCACCCTAGTAGAGAGCAGTCATGTGCTTGTGGATGTTCAAAGGTTGGTCTTAGGGCCACATGAGTAAACAAGCTCTTTAGTTAAACTCCCCCACATTCCTTAGTATCGACTCCTGCCTAATTGCCTCTGTGTAAGAACCACTGCCTTCCGTTCATTCCTTCTCAAGGCTTTTGCACAAACCTCCCAGCCTTCCAAGAAGGTTTGCATCTATTTCTCTATAATTTTTCTCTTCTAATTTCTCCCACCACCCTGACTGAACCCTTACACTACAGGAAATAGAAAATTATACATCATATATGATTTGTTATAATGGAAACTCAGAGCTCTAGGTTTGCTTAAGGAAATATACAGAACAGAGGTAGGGAAAATGGGATAAACTGTTATCCTCTACTTAAGTCTCAAATTAAGGCCTCTTATTTTTCAAGAGTAACTTACTATCCTGATGGAGAATATATCTGTTTTTCATTAAAATGTGACTGTGTACTACTGAGAGCCACCATGGATTTGACAAAGAGCCGATTTCAAATCTATCTCTGGGATCCACAAATACTGTCTATTATATACTGAGCTAATAACATGGGAAAGAGTTAAACTACTAAACACAGAAATTTAAATATTACTAAAGCAGTAGCCTACCAATATAAGCAGGTTTTGAAATGCTGTGATAATTTTTAGATTCTGAATAAGATCTAATTAAATATACTGTTCTTTTATTTTGTCATATTCATTTAGGTTAGGTAAACAAGAAACGAAAATATTAATACTATTTAGAAATATTAGAAGCTGATACAAGTTCTAAAAATGAGACAAATTGTCAATAAAAATAGGCACATGATTAGATGATGATGGTGACTATAATGAAAATTGATGAGTCTCAGGACCAAAAGAGAAAATAAGACAATATGAAGATACTGGATTCCTAACATTTAATATTTACAAGAAATTTTTCCTATTATACTTTTCAATGTTCCTCTTAACTAGTGTCAATGAAGTAATTATTTTAACTAGTGTCAGTTAAACTTAATATGCATGAAAACGTTCTGACACAGTATAAGTTCTCTGAGTTTATAAACAATATCTTTCATAGTTCAGCTAAATCTGGTAAATTGCTTTGTAGCCTCACTAGGTTTAATAAATGTTATGTAAATAAATATTTTGTACGGATCTCTTTGATACATTTCTAGTTTTAGTATGAAAAAAGTAAAGCAAGACATTTTTTTTCTAAATTAAATTCCTTTAACCGGAAGTGTAAGAAATGTGTGGAGGTGACTTTTCTCTATTAGACAATCATACAGACTAGACTTGCAAATAACATGACATTTAAAGAACCATACATTTTCAAAATATGCAGAGCACAAGTTTTAATTTTACATCATACCAGAAAGCACTACAGGGACACTGCTGAATAGAAGCAAGCTGGAATCTCAACACAGAGCTCTTTTCTTACCCTCAGCAACAAAAACGCTTGATCTTAGAAGTTCAAAACTGTTTCATATGATAAAGATGAGTTCTGAAAATAAACCAATAAGTAATTGTAATTTTTATTTAATTCAACTTCTAATATACACACATACAAACCTTTCTGAAATGTTCAGTCTTGTCCATGTCTTGATTTTGAGGCATATTTTCCACTAATTGAAAGGCATGTTTCAAAATATTATCTAGAGTTCTTTTAAAAAATCAATGATTTTTCACTGCTAAAATATTCTTTTTAGCTGAACATTGACAATGACTCCCTCCTTGATCAAACTTTAGTTAGGCTTCTCTAAGACCTCTTCTCAACTAGGCCTCATCCTTGGCCTTAGCCTGCTGTAAGCAAAGAATCCTGCTAAGTCAGTTTAGTGAGAATCTCCCATGCTTGATATCTAACTAAGTTTCTCACCCTTCACCCTTAATGTCTAAGTCCTTAATCTGCCTGTAGGAAGAATCTTGTTAGACTGGATAAAGAAAATGTACATATACACCACAGAATACTATGCAGCCATAAAATGGAATGAGATTATGTTCTTTGCAGGGACATGGATGGAGGTGGAAGCCATTATCCTTAGCAAACTAATGCAGGAACAGAAAACCAATCACCATAGGTTCTCACTTATAAGTTAAATCTGAACAATGAGGATGCATGGACAAAGGAAGAGAAAACAACACACACTGGGGCCTATGTGGGGTAGGGGAAGGGAGACCATCAGGAAAAATAGCTAATGCATGCGGGCCTTAATACCTAGGTGATGGATTGATAGGTGCAGCAAACCACCGTGGCACACATTTACCTATATAAAAAACCTTCATGTCCTGCACATAAATACCATAACTTAAATTTAATTAAAAAATTAGAGATAGTGACAGTAAAAAATAGTGTATTGGCAAAGAGGAGTCATAACTGCCATAAAAAAGATGGTCTGGGAGGAGAAACTTGTAAATGAAGCCAAGATAGCTTGAATCTATGAAATGGGTCTCCTCTGCCAGTAGCTACAGGATCTGGTTAAAAAAAAAAACATCAACTGCAACCATTTGCATATGGGCTTGGGAATCGGTTTGTTTTCCTTGTATCCTCTTCAGACAATAAGCTCCATGGTTCTCAACTCTGGCTGTATATTAGAATCACACAGAGAATCTAGTTTAATTGGTCTGGGGAGTCGAGGCAGAAAATTGGTAGTTTTTAAAAGCCCCAGGTGAATTCTGTTTTGTATTTAGGTTTGAAAAGCACTGATTTAGCAAATACATCACCTCATTTAATCAAATAAATATCTATAAAGGTAGAGCTTCAGCCAAAATAAAACCACCTCAATGTTTTATAGAAAGCCTGCTGAATTCCAGACATAACTAATGGGAATTAAGACAGAGCTGGCATTTTTATCCCAGTAGTTCATAGGGGCAAACTGAGAAGCTAGATCTGATCTAGTTTAAATAACCCTAACAATCACCATCCAATGCAGGTTGACTTCTATACTAAATGAAAACTTACGTTGGAAAAACAATTATAGAAAGCAGCATAAAATCCACCTTATTCAATAGTTATTAATATAGTTTACATTTATGTTATCTCTGGATTGTCACAGTTTTAGATAATAATTATTAGGGAAGAATTGCTCCATTTATTTTCCCTTGACAGTTTCATTATGCTGAATTCATGAGTTTTTCTTACTATATACATTGTTCATTTTTTGTTACTATATAAAATATAAGTATCTTTACAATGGGGGACTATAAAGGATAGAAACTATTTCAGTTATTTTATTTCATTTTATTTTGTTTGACTAGAAATCCAATTTTCTTTATTATTTTTTGGCAGATACATAACTCCAAAATATTTAGATAGATTAATATTACTGCTCATTCCTCTGATTCTTGCTATGGAAAAATAAGAACATTTAAGGCATAAAAGAATATTCTGTCAGTCTAAATGTGTATGTCAGTGATAACCCAGGATGTGTTTAAGACAATTTTATAACCAATAATATTTATGCTTTTCAGGGGATAGAAAAAGGTAGCTATGAATAATATTTTAGTGTTATAAAACGTTTGATTGGCAAGAATCATATCTTTAAAATTATTAGCAGTTATATTTTGTGCCATTACAAATTCTACAGAATATGCTTTAACACATAGCAGATTATTGTCATATATTTTTTACATCTTAAGTGGGTTATACACTTCAAAAAATTAATATTTTGAATGGGGTGAATATTATTTGTGATTTAAAAGATTAATTGCATACCTTTTTTAAAATTAAAAAGAAGAAAAGTAATTTGAAACTTTCAAACTCACCACTGCCTTGTCAGACCTTCTATGATCTTCTACCCTGTTTATCCACTGTATTTCTGGCTATTTTTCAATAATCATCATCCACACAAGTCAGTGTTATTTTCAAAAGGCTTCCATACTTGCAATTTTCTTTGCTGCATTTCTGAATTTGTCATGTTGCTTATCTTGCTCAGAATTTCCTTCATTCTCAAAAGTATGGGTGTGGTACAGATTTTCGGGTAGCAGCATGTAACTCTTTAAAGAAAAGGTATATGTTAATTGAAAACAAGTTTTATATTTTACTCTAGTTGATATAATTTTTGTTATAGATGATATCATGGAAAACAAAATGTATGAATAATATAAACAATGAAAACGAAAAGTGGCAGATAAATCTTAACTGCCTATTGTTTTTAAAGAAATGGTACTGCAACATTCTCAACTTAGAGCAGTATAAATATAGATAATGGTTCTCCAACTTTAGCCGGCAACGGAATCACTCAGTCAATTTATTAAAACAGATTTCTGGACCTGAACCCAGAGCTTCTGATTCAGTACTCCTGGGGTTGGGGCCCAAGAAACTGCATTTCTTGTAAGTTCCCAGACGATGCCCATGCTGCTAGCCCAGGGACCACACTTTAAGAAATCTTAATGGAGACACTAGAATTTTGTATTTTGGCATACAAAAAAATGTATATACTTAATATGCCTATGATTCTTCAAAAAATCAGTCAGTTTTAAGTGAGAGGCCAATTTGTAAACTGCAACAAAAGGACCAATGAAATTAGTATCAGGGAAGAAATAATAGCAAGTCAATTTTAGGCCAAAGACTTATCTTCAAGCTAATGGAAACTAAGATGGAGTCAGAAAATATCTATTGATTTCAATAATCTTTGTTGCAACATTGTTTGTTACACAGAAAAAATGGAAACAACCAAAGTGCCTATTTAACAGAGGGTCATAAACTATGGTAGATCCAAATATAAAGGACTTAAAAAGAATTTGATTGATTTGGATGTGCCGATATGGAAATGCTTTCAAGATATATTATTATACAAGGCTAGAGTAACCAAAACAGCATTGTATTGGTACAAAAACAGATACACAGACCAATGGAACAGAAATAAGGCCGCACATCTACAGCCATCTGATCTTCAACAAACCTGACAAAAGCAAAGAATGGGGAAAGGACTCCCTATTCAATAAATGGTGCTGGGATAACTGGCTAGCCATATGCAGAAAATTGAAACTGGACCCCTTCCTTAAACTTTATACAAAAACTAACCCAAGATGGATTAAATAATTAAATGTAAAATACCAAACTATAAAAACCCTGGAAGACAACCTAGGCAATACCATTCTTGACATAGGATCAGGCAGAGATTTAATGACAAAGACTGGTACTTGTATAAAAAGCATGGTACTGTTATAAAAGTAAATACATAGACTAATGGAACAGAATAGAGAGCACAAAAATAAAGCCAACTACTTCAACCAAATGATCTTTGACAAAGCATACAAAAACAGAAATTGGCAAAAGGACATCCAATTCAATAAAGGATGCTGGGAAAATTGGAAAGCCACATGTAGAGAAGGAAACTGGATCCCTATCTCTTGCCATGTACAAAAGTTAAGGTGGATTAAAGACTTAAATATAAGACCTGAAACCATAAAAATTTTAGAAGAAAACCTATACAAAATTATTTTGGGCATTGGCCTAGGCAAAGAATTTGTGACTAAGACCCCAAAAGCAATGATGAGTGGATAAAGAAAATGTGGTGTGTATACATGTGTGTGTGTGTGTGTGTGTGTAGATACATATACACACGTGTATATACACACAAAAAAGTTTTATTTATATATGCACACATATATGTGTGTGTGTGTGTGTATATATATGCATATACACACAAACACATACATCATGGAATACTACTCACCATACAATTCATCCAGGGGACCAAAGACCACTTATACCCCCACAAAGCTATTGAAGTAAAAAAAGACTTAAATTGAAGAGAAGATGTGTGATTACATTTATGTTAATATATATATATACCTTTATAATTGAATATAATTATATGCATGTGTATAAATATATATATGACTTTCAGCACAGAATGCATAGTGCTCTAAACATGTTTTTTCTTTGTGTTATACAAAAAACTTGAGACTAGTTATCTTTTGAGACAGGATTTGGCAAAGGAAAAGTGCTTTTAATTATTAATTGCATACTTCTCTATATCTTTTGCGTTTTAACCATGTATGTATGCATTATTTCTAGTGTAAAAATATCAATAATTCATCGGAGCATGGTGGCTCATGCCTGTAGTCCCAGAGCTTTGGGAGGCCAAGGAGGTTGGATCACAGGAGTTCAAGACCAGCCTGGCCAAGATGGTGGAACGCTATCTCTAAGAAAAATACAAAAACTAGCTGGGTGTGGTGGCAGGCACCTGTAATTCCAGCTACTTGGGAGGCTGAGGCAGAAAATTGCTTGAATCTGGGAGGCAGAAGTTGCAATAAGCCAAGATCGTACCACTGCACTCCAGCCTGGGCAACAGAATGAGACCCTGTCTCAAAAAAAAAAAAAAAAAAAAAAAAAAAAAAAAAAAA